CCTCATGGCTCCCTAGGTGCCCCTTCCACCTCCAGGCCCTCTGCCCACGCTGTTCTCTGCGTCTCACACCCTTCCTTCTGTGCTGTTCCACGTACCCAGCCTTGGCTCTCCCCCAGAGGCCCACTAGAGCACCACCTCTTTTAATGTGCTTTTTGTGCTCTGCCCAGGAGAGGAAGATCATTCTTGCCTGTGGGTGCTGTTCTGTGTAGACACCTCTGTCCCAGCACTTTCCAAGTATAGTGCTCACCTTTCTTCATCTTTGAATCTCACTGTCTGGCCTAGTACCAGACAAACAGAACATGGTCAATAATGTTTGAAGATTGAAGGGCAAAGGACCCAGGTCATCTGGTCACTACTCCCCCACAGGGGCCTCTGAAGAAAGAACAGAGTAAGGAAATCACAATCTCACTCATTGATCCCAGGTAAACAACAATGTACCTACATGTGCTGGGGAAAATATTTTTTATTTTTTTTTCTTTTCCTGCAGTTTTTGGCTGGGGCCGGGTTTGAACCTGCCACCTCTGGTATACACGGCTGACGCCCTACTCCTTTGAGCCACAGGCACCGCCCAAAAGAAAATATCTTTTAAATGATACAAACATGGTCACCACATTCAAGCAGCACAGCATTGTAAATGAAAGCTATATTAATTATTTTTAAATAATCACACCAGGTGGTATAACCAAGTGTCAAGTAAGTTTGGAAAAGAATGTGGACCTGAGAATGTCAGGCCTGGCTAGGCCTCAATTCTAGATCTGCCACTTATTAGCAAGATACCTTAGTTAACTGCTCTTTGCCTCAGTTTCTCAATCTGTGCAGTGATGATAAACTTTGACCTCATGTTCTGCCCCCTTTCGCACCAGACTTTCTTACTGCTCCTCAAACACTAAAGTCACTCTTTCTATACTAGCTCTGCTCATGATACTTCCAACATCACTTCCTTTACACCAACCAATTCTCCATTCTCCACCAACTGGGTGCTCTATAATTCAATCCAATTCTGACCCCAATTACTCGAGGTTAGCAAAGATCTACAGAATAAAGGCTTAGCCCCACAGGACTGCTCACAGTTCGGACATCAGTCACCAAGTATGGCCCACCCATCCTGACCAACTGGCTATAAAGTCCTACAACTCCCTCCTCAGGATGGATAATTTGCTAGAGCAGCTCACAGAACTCAGAAAAGCACGTTGTGTACCACCACTATCCTTATTATGAAGGATACAACAAATGAAATACCAAATGAAAAAGATAGAGCAAAGGCAGGGGAGGTGGGTTTCAAGAAGCTTCCACACCCCACTGGAAATGCCACCCACCCTGCCCACAGCACGTCAATGTATTCACTGATCAAGAAGCTCTCCAAACCCCATCATTTAGGATTTTTATGGGGGTTCCATTCTGCAAGCATACTTGATTAAATCACTGGCCATTGGTTATTAGTTCCCGAAGCTGGAGGTTAGGGCTGAAAGTTCTAATCTCCAATCACACGGCTGGTTCCTCTGGCAACCAACCCCCATCGCCAAACCATCTGGAAGCCCAACAAGAGCTGGCTCTTTAGCAGAAACTCAGGTAATGCCAAAAGGGGCTTGTCATAACAAAAGATTCTTCCATCATTATCATCCAGGAAATTCCACGGGTTTTACAAACTGTATCAGGTACCTAAATAGATATTTTTATCACACTGCAGCCTTAGGATTTTGACACCTTTTGGTTCTTCAACCTATGATACGTCCCTGAAATCTGAACCATTCGGGTCTCTACTCAAATCCTACCTTCTTATAAAACTCATTCCCTGACCACCTACTTAAAACAGCATCTTCCTCCCACCCATGTCATTCTCTAAGTTCTCACTCTGCCTTTTTACCTCCTTAGCATTTCCAGTAACTGAAATAACACTATTGAAGGAAACCAAAATATTTCATCCTAAAATATACTTCTTTGACATATTTTGAGATGGCTGTTCAGAGGGTTTGCAGGTAGTAGTCCTACAAAGCTGTCTTTTTGTGAGGGAGATATGTTCCTGTAGAGAATGTGCATTGATACTCTTTCTCAGAGGCCCTCTTTTGTCTGGGTCTAGAAGAGATTAACTGTCAGTCTGACACTTTTAAAATGTGAAAAAGTGTTGATTCTCTCTCAGGGGTGCTACCAGTCAAATTTCATCCATACAATAAGACCACCTTTGCAAACCAGGCTGCCCCCTCCACCCTCCCATAACCCGATTTACCATTATAATCTGGTTTTGGTCCTGCTTTCATCCCCCATTCTTTATGTAACTTCAAGATGGGATACAAGTGGCTTCCTTTGAGATCTTATTTTATAAGACTCCCTTGGAACGTTAGTAAACTTGTATGCCTTCTCTCCTACCAGTCTACTTTTTGTCTGGTGACTTTTCAATGAATCTTCAGAGAACAAAGATGTTTTCTCCAGGCCCCTTCTCTATTTATTTGTTCACCTCCCCCCCCCCCAGTCTCCTATTAGAATGTAAATTCCTCAGGAAAGTTGATCTTCCCTAGATCCCCAATGCCTAAAATGCCTAACCCACAGTAGTCAAAAAAATAATAATAAATATATAATATACATATTTGTTGAATAAATGGTGATAACAAGATATAATACCTATATAACAAAGGGGTTTGTGATTCAACAAAAGAGTGCAGACAGAGGGATATACAATTCTTAACACTCAATGGTGTTGACCAACGCCAGGCGTCCTCAAACTACAGCCTGCGGGCCACATGTGGCCCGCCTAGGACATTTATCTGGCCTGCTGAGTGTTTTTGCTGCCGCTGCCTGCCCTGCTTAGCAGCCAACTTGTCCCAGGGCCTGTAGTCCAGCCCTCCAATGGTCTCAGGGACAGTGAACTGGCCCCCTGTTTAAAAAGTTTAAGGATCCCTAGCCAATGCTATCATCAAAAGAACCCAGAAGACAGCCAGGTCAACATGGGCAGGGGGAGATACAGGTTTCAAGGATGTGACAGGACTGGATCTTGATCTGGAAGGATGAGGATTTTTTTTCTTGGGCAGCACGTGTGGCTCAGTGAGTAGGGCGCTGGCCCCAAATACCGAGGGTGGCGAGTGTGAACACAGCCCTGGCCAGTTAAAAAAAACAGCAGTAACAACTGCAACAAAAATAGCCAGGCGTTGTGGCAGGCGCCTATAGTCCGAGCTATTCGGGAGGCTAAGAGAATCACCTAAGCCCAAGAGCTGGAGGTGCTGTGAGTTGTGACGCCACAGTACTTTACCGAGAGCAACAGAGTAAGACTCTGTCTCAAATAAATAAATAAATAATCATGTATGTCCACTTCAGAGAAAAAAAAAAAAAAAGAAACCAAGAAGCAACCAGAATGTCCACCCATAGGGAAATAAACTATGGTGCCTCCATACCGTGCAGAGATTAAACCGAATAAGATACACACTCAGTGAAATGATCTCCAAAACATAGTTTTTTTGTTTGTTTTAATTGAGACAGTCTCACTTTGTCACCATTGCTAGAGTAACCTGGCATCATAGCTTACAGCAACCACCAACTCTTGGGCTCAAGCAATTCTCTTCCTCAGCCTCCCTAGTAGCTGGGACTACAGGCATCCACCACAACGCCCAACTATTTTTTGTTTGTTTAGCACGCCCAGGCCAGGTTCAAATCCACCAGCCCCGGAGCATGTGGCCGGTGCCCTAACCACTGAGCTACAGATGCCCTCTAAAATATATTGTTAAATTGAAAAAATAGTTGGAGAACACACCCCAGTGATCTGATTTAGGGAAAACAAAAATTTTAAAACCACAGATAAGGACAGGTACTGTAGCTCATGCCTATAATCCTAGCACTCTGGGAGGCCGAGGTGGATGAATTACTTGAGCTCAGAAGTTGGAGACCAGCTTGAGCAAGAGTGTGACCTCATCTCTAAAATAAAAGTCAGGCATGGTGGCAGGCACCTGTAGTCCCAGCTACTTGGGAGGCTGAGGCAAGAGGATCATTTGAGCCCAAGAGTTTGAGGTTGCTGCAAGCTGTGACGCCACAGCACTCTACCAAGGGAGACTGTCTCAAAAAAAAAAAACATACACAAATAAGATTTCTCTGAGTATGTGTACCTTATTTATATAGATAGATACATATTTTACTAACCACTGTATCAACTCCTTAACACTGTCTGAAACATAACTGTTTTCGTTAAATATTAATTGAATGAATAAAAAAGAACCAAAAAATATACCTACTTGTCATGTTAAGTACTGCTGCATTTTTAAAAGACTGCATTAAAGTACTATTAAAATGAATTCATAATACTTAAAAAAGTAAAATTCCAAGACTTAGATATACCATCAAGAGGTCCAGGCATCAGACCCTGAATAATGTCCCCAGATAACTAATTTAGTTGTTTTCTGCAATGAGGGCTCTAAGACAGCAACTGTACACCCACCTTACCTCTCCAGCATCAGACCCCTTAACAGCAAAAGGTGCTGGGCTTTCAATTCTTGAACACCAAGTTATTATTGCACGTTCTTTCTAAAGGGTACTTTTCCACTAAACCGCGGTAGCTGGAACTGGGACTCTAGCTCTCGGCCTTCCCAGCATACCGCCAGGAGCCGGGTAAGGAACGAATGTGGGGAAACTTCTTTCCCTCCCGGTAATCTGTCTCTCCGCTCAGGCATCATGCCCCGCGACACCAAACTCCTCTCTGATCCCCCCCACCCCCCACGCAGAGGTCACCAAGATAGCTGCTGAGAAGCGCGGCGTTAAAACCAAGGAGTTGAGCGTTACCGCACCTGTGCGCTCGGCTCTAACTCGAGGAGGAGTCTGGGAACCGGTCCCTTCATTTAGGGCCAAGGACTCCGCAGCAGTCACCACGCGAGTGATTCAAAGCTGCGCACTGCCGTGCTCCAACTTGAGAGGCACGGGGAAGAGAAAGCTAGGTAGGGGTGGTGGGCCTCGGACCCGATGGGGCCCTGGCGGTGCCAGCACCACAGGGCAGGGACCTGTCCCCCCACCCTGGTCTCCGCTACCTTGGGCCGGAGCGTTCGCAACTAAGTCCTCGGATCTTAGGAGTGTGCTGGCGAGGGACGGAGGGCAGGCGAGCGGCGCAGAGCCGGGACGGGACCTGAGCCGGAGCGTCTGGGGTTCGCCCACCGCCTGGGGGCAATGAGCACAGTGACGACACGTAGGGTCAGCTCCGCGCTGCCACTCCTCGGGCTCTGCGCCCAGCTGCAAGGCGCCGCGGGTCTCAATTGCAGCAACCGCGGCGAGAGTGTACTCTGCACCGGGAATATCGATCCGCGACGCGCAACGTACAGCCATTGGCCTCCAACCGGCCGCGGGCTCGGTGCCAAGAGCGGGGGTGCCCGGCCGGGGCTTCCAATCGGGGCGGGGGCCGAGGGCGTGAGCCCCGGCTGTCCATCACAAGCCACGCCCACCCCGGCGCACGCCCACTACGGTCCTACCTACGGGGGCGGACCCGTATGTGCCACGACGAAAACGTGCTACGCCCTTGCAGATTCTATTGGCTAGAAGGCCGGGAGAACCGCTACCCCCAACCAGTTGAAATGCACAATTGGCCCGTGGGGGCGGAAGGGCGAACTTCACGATTCCTCAGGAGCCAATAGAGAAGAGGAATGGGGAAGCGTTTTTTGAGGTGGTTGGCGGAAGATGGCGGCCGCCGAAAGGGGCTGGTGCGTGTGCGAGTTGTTAAGGTGAGGAGCCGGCGGCGTGGGCTTTTTGGCGTTTTTTGTTGTGTGGTGGCACTTTCCCGTCCAGTGTAACTGAAGTTTCCTTTGCGGGGAGTAGCTTTTCTTGTCTTGAATGTAAGGCGTTTTCTTAAGCCAACGGGCAGTCTTCTCTACTTTCCGGGGGTCTGTGAGATCGGGCGGAGCCGACTGGGTACTGAGATTTCCTGGCCCGAGTTCTCTACCGCTGTCTCACTGCTAGCACAGGGGTCGAGTTTCCTTCCCTGCTTCAGTTTTTTTCCCTCCTTTTCACACTCCAATTAGTGTGACATAAATTATTCATATTAATTTTTCATTTTCCTTTATGATTGAGCCAGGAGAGATTTTGCAGTCTTTCATGTCTGTTTTTGGTAAAGAAGAAACGGGATCCTCCTTAATCTTAGTTTCTCCGCCTTAACTCCCCAATTTGCTATTGTTAACACGTCACTCAAATATAAAACTTACTTTGAATTCTATTTTTTGATCATTCATTGATTTATTTGTTCTTATTGATGTAAGAATAGTTCTATAAAATTTTGTTTTGCATTAAATAAAATAGGTGATACACTATTTCTTCTAGAAAAGTTAGGAAATAGATAAATAGAAAGAAAAGTCCCTGGAATGCTACCATCTGGCTATATCTAGTGTTAACATTTTGGTGAAAAAAAAGTGGTAAGTTTTCCACCTTTGTTGTTTTAATACTATAAATGCCTTGCTCTACATTAATAGAAAACCTAGTATAGTCTACCTACCTAGTTGTTCTTTTTTTTTTTCCTACCTAGTTCTTTTAACACTCCCATATTTGTGGTAAATATCTGAGTTAGCCTGAATTTTCTTCATATACTTCAACCCAAACAACATATAACTGGGCAGTGCCCAGCTCAAAGGAGTAAGGGCCCTGGCCCCATGAGGTGGCAGGTTCAAACCCGGCCCCGGCCAAAAACTTCAAAAAAAAAAATTACTAAACAATGTATAACTACAGATTGAATGTAGAAGCAGAGAGGAAAACCCACTTTCTAGGTTGATGTTAAGCCAGATGTTAAAGAGATTTGCAAAAACATAAAACATTGACACCTTTTTTGATGTCTTTTTTGTTTGGAAAATATAGTTTTTACATAAAAATAAATTAATGTAATTTGTTATTTCTTAATCCATAAATTTAAAAAAATTCTTAATAAATTTAAAAAATTCTTCAGTCTTCATTTCTAACATGCTAAATGTTGGTAGATATAGTCATTGTAAACCACTGGCTCTCAACCAGGGATGATTTTGCTCTCCATGGGTATTTGGCAATATCTAGAGATATTTTTGATTGTCATCCTTGAGAGAGTGCTACTGGCATCTAGTGGGTCACAGCCAAAGATGCTGTCAAGTATCCTATAATGCACAGAACTGCCCCCCACAAAATTATCTAATCCAAAAAATGTCAACAGTGTTGAGATTGAAAAACCCTGTTGTAAACCAAAACTATGTTGGGTGCTCAGTAATTTTTAAAAGTATAAATGTATCCTCAGACCAAATTATTTTAACAAATCAAATAACCTTTTCAGGTAACAGATTTGTTCACAGCAGGAAACCTCACATGAGAAATTTATTTCAAAACTAAATATCAATAAAATATTTATTTCTCTGAAAATGTAATATGTTTTCTACTTAAGACAATGAAAACTATGTAACTATACAAAATACCTCCTATTTGCTTTGGTTGCTAAGCAAGCAGCCCATAGCCCAGTTTGCCATTCACTAATATATACAGACTTACAGCCTGCATATCTCTGTCCCCCATCAGCCTCTACACTAACATACATACTATCTTTCACTCTATTTTCCCTGGTCCTGGCATTTTTTAATTTAAATTTTGGTGCTACATTGTTTTTATATCTTCTAAGTTCCTCAAACCCTTTATAAGTGGTAGGCAGGGAAGAAAAAATATTGTTAGTAAAAAGATAAGATACATTGTTAGGTACCAACTGTATTAGCCAATCTTAAAAGAAAAACATACCTAGAAAATTTATTTTAACATATGAGACATTTAAAGAGGTGATAAAATTATGCATCCAGTCAAATTTTTATTGGTTGCCTTTTCTATAAAGCATTATGGTAGGCACTGGGGCAATAGTAATGATGAGGCTAGGCCCTTGATATTGTAGAGCTTCTGCAAAAAAAAAAAAAATGATTACAATGAAAGAGGACTTATGTTTTCAACATTGGATATTTGGTAGTATTCAAATTTTCCTAATTAAAAAAATTCAAAACTTGAATATTAGCAGACTTGCAAACTACATTTCTCTCTTTTTGCTACATATTTGTAAAGTAAATATGTAAAAGTAGACCATAATTTTTAGTCGTTTCTCAATAGTCATCTTACTGATTTCCAACTTTCCCCACTTATTTCAGGTTTTTTTATTCATTATTCTTCCCTGGGTTAATCGTATGTGGAACTTTATGTGCCTGTTTGATCGTTGTCCTTTGGCAAGTCAGACTGCTGCTACAGAGAAAGAAAAAGTCAATGTCAACTAGCAAAAATGGGAAAAATCAAATAGTGATTGCATTTTTTCATCCATACTGCAATGCTGGTGGAGGTGGAGAAAGAGTTTTATGGTGTGCCTTAAGAGCCCTGCAAAAAAAGTAGGTATGCATCTTTCTTAGCTAATTTGCTATATTGTTGCCATTGTTTAAGAAATCATCAGCCAGAATTCTTCTTTCTAGTACCTTACAGATAACCAGGAATTCCTTTAACCGTTCTTCAATAAGAAAACATTTCTGACCAGGTATGGTGGCTCACAGCTATAATCCTAAGCACTTTGAGATGCTGAGGCAGGCACTTGAAGGCAGGAGTTTGAGACCAGTCTGGGCAATATAATATAGCAAGACCCCGTCTCTACAAAAAATTAGCCAGATGTGATAGCATGCACCTGTAGTCTCAGCTATTCAGGAGCCTAAGGCAAGAGGATTGCTCCAGCTGTAGTCATGCCACTGCACTCCCACCTGTGTGACTCCTGTCTCTATTTAAAAAAAGAAAGGAGACTATGTCTCTCACATGCCTACTTGCCTTATATGATCCTATTGAATTGTAGTTGCTATACTAAAGAAATGGCCAAGAGAAAGTGTCTTCTCTTTTATAGCATAATTTAATGAGGATAACTAGTCACCTTCAGGAGAATGTATGCAGAAGAGATTAAATAATAAACTGAAATATACCGAGTATTGCAGAGCATTTTAACCTGAATATTTTTAGTCAGTGGTAGCACCAGAAATAATCTCTGAAAGCATGTTTGATTCTAATTTTGATGTCATTACCAGTTGTGTAGTCTTAAATTACCTGTTAAAGGAATATGGTGTTACACTTTTTTTAATGTTTTAGGCTTTTTCATCTCTACCTCTTCTACTCTGAAAGTATTTATGATTTCCTTTTAGAAAGAAAAAAGCATAGTAAAGTATAGGTTTCACTATTGTTTTATTATATAAGGAGAATTATTACACTTTCATGGTTATCCTATAGCCTGGTACACACCATTCAATTCCAAAGCCTTCACATGATTCCCTATGCATTTCTATATTCTTGGTTCATTCCAGCTTCCAGCCACCACCCCTGTGTTTACTTTGCCATCTTCTGTAACTGCCAAGATCTAGAGAATTCTCTGAAATCTCAGCTCAGTGTCCGTAGCACAGTGGTTATGGCACCAGCCACATACACAAGTGTGGCGAGTTCCAACCCAGCCTAGGCCAGCTAAAAACTGCAACAAAAAAATAGCTGGGCCTTGTGGTGGGCACCTTAGTCCCAGCTACTTGGGAGGCTGAGGCAAGAGGATCTCTTAAGCCTAAGAGTGGGGGGTTGCTGTGAGCTGTGACAGAACAGCACTCACTGAGGGTTACATAGTAAGACTCTGTCTCTAAAAAAAAAAAATTATCTTAAATCTCATCTCCTTGAAGTCTTCCCTACTCTAATCAGTACTATTCTTTCTTTTTTTTTTTTTTTTTGGTCATCTAACTGGATTATCTAACTCTTGAGGGCAGTGGCAAAATATCATATCTGTACACTTATCCCCCAGCAACCCCTGCTACTCCTAATGAACCTGCAAGGAAAAGAAATCCAACTATAGTAGAACCTCCAGAGTTGACCAGCTCCCTAAGCTGACCTAATTTTCATAGACCAGACATGCCCCATATGTAATGTAAGTTCCTTATGTTGACCACCTCCCATGTGTTCACCAGTTTGTTATAGTCCCTTGGTTGGTCACCTTAACAGAGGTTCATCTTCCTCTGGCCACTTTTTATTATCCTCCTTGTTCCTTCACATATACTCTGCTCCAGCATGCTGAACTCAGAGCAGTTCCCTAACATATCATCTCTCTCTAGGTTCCTTTGCCTTTGTAGATAGTGTTCTTTTTATTCTGAAATAACTTTTTTTCTCCCCAGTTAATCCCTGTAAGTCTTTTCTGACTCAGCATGTGCTACAGTTCACTATTCATTTTTACTTTGGGGACCTGCTATGTATCAGGCACTGTTCTTGATAAAGTGATAAAAAATACGTATATATATCAAGTCCCTTTCTCCTGGATTTTAGATTTTAGTTGAGAGAGATAAGATAATAAAAGCAAATAAGAAAAATATCAAGTAGTGAGAAATGCTATATAAAGAGTTAAAATAGGATAATATTAGAGTGAGTTGCTACTTTGGATTAAATAATTAGGGAAGATCTCTTGAGGAGATTGACACTTAACTCAAATCTGAGAGACAAAAATAGCTGCTGTATTCACCTAGTGTGGCATTGTTTGAAGTTCTTTACATGTATTAGCTCACTTAGTCCTCATAACAACTCTTATCCTCATTCGACAGAGAGCAAAACTGAGACTGGAGAACCTAAATTTTAAACCATGTATGGAGCTGCCTACCTTGTGAAAAAGACTATGATTACTGAGAAAAGAGTACTCAGACAGAGGGAACAACTACCGCTAGCCCCCTAAGGCTGAGTAGAGCTTGGCTTGTTCATGAAAAAGGAACAACAGTATGGCTATACCATAGGGGCAAAGGAGAACATGGAATGGAAGATTACAAAGGGAGGCGGGACGCAGTTCCTCAAGACTTGAGTGAGCAGTGAGCAGGGTATGGAGTTTAGGTTTTATTCTAAGTGCTAGAGAAAACTGTTCGAGGATTGTCAACAGAGAGGTGATACTCTGATTATCTGCTGCTGCATTAAAATCACCCCCAAATTTTATGACTTAAGACTATTTCTCATAGTTTAAGGAGTGACTTTGTCTTATGACATAGCTTTGGGGTACCCTGTTTGGAGTCCATCATACTGTTGCAGTCAGATGGCAGCTGGAGCTAGAGGGTTCTAAAGGCTTCTTCACTCACATATCTGGTCCCTGGGACTGAGATGACTGGGACAACTAGGGGTTGCTGTCAGGTATCACCCTTGCCAAACAGCCTCTCCATGTGACTAGTTTGAGCTTGTGTACAATATGGCTGTGTCAGAATGGTCAGACACCTTACATGACAGCTAGCTGTCTTCTAGAGCAGTGGTTCTCAACCTTCCTAATGCTGTGACCCTTTAATACAATTCCTCATGTTGTGGTGACCCCACATGAAATTTATTATTGAAATGAAATATATGAAAATTATTTTCATTGCTACTTTGTAACTGTAATTTTGCTACTGTTATGAATCGTAATGTAAATATCTGATATGCAGAATGTATTTTCATTGTTACAAAGGGGTCGCGACCCACAGGTTGAGAACCGCTGTCCTAGGGTGAGCATTCTAAGAGACAAGAAGTAGAAGCTGCTTCTCTTAGAGCCTGGGATGGGAAATGGGGACGATATCACTTTTGCTGTATTCTATTGGTCACAACAGTTCCAGAGCCCACTTATTCCATGGTAGGGGATATTGACACTTTTCCCAGTGAGAGGTGGTATCTAAGAATTTATGGCAGAGGTATATCTTCTTTTACATTTTAAAAGGATCATTGTGGCTGCTAGGGAAAGAGTGGCTGGGTGGGTGGCTTGGGAGGAGCAGTTAGATTCTCGTCCTTTAGGCTTCCACAGCACCCTGTGGCTACCTTTATCAGTATGTATCACACAGTTTTGCAGTTTTTTGTTTATACAACTGCTTTCTCCATTGGACTGAATTCCTTAAGGATAAAGACTCTCTCTCATCCCTGTATCCCCAGAGTTTCATACTAGATGCTTCATAAATACTTTATGACTCAAAGAATATATAGTCAGAGGGAGGCCAAAGCATTAAAAGTCCTAAGAATACACATTTAGATGCTTCCATTCTAATTATATCAAATTTTGGTGCAGGCATAAGATCTAGCTTTTAAAACCTTTTTGCATTTCTCAGTTAAAAACACTGAATAATGCTTTAACATTATGAGCCTACCTAAAGATACATTTGGTGAATTTAACTCTTTTTTTTTTTTTTTTTTTTGTAGTTTTTGGCCAGGGCTAGGTTTGAACCCACCACCTCAGGCATATGGAGCCGGTGCCCTACTCCTTTGAGCCACAGGGGCCCCCCCTGAATTTAACTCTTTTATGAGTGTTTCATTAATATTTTATTATTTTTTACAATCATTTTTTTAATACTGAGAACATTGTCAAAATAACATTATTTCTTAAAAATGAAAATTATCATTTATAAATCAGCAATTTCTATTGATGCTTCTTGTATATGAAAACCTCAGTGGAAGACACCACAAAGAACTAGAAGACAAGGTCTCATTTGAAGGACTAACATTTTATTTGTAGGACAGTGGAAGACCGAGGAAAGGGTGAGCTCAGTAGTTCTAATTCAGTGAATGTAAAACAGTGGAAAATTTTGTTGTTTAGCATAAAAATAAGTTTCTTTATATTTATGAGAAAATAATTATCTGTAACTTCTTGCTTGATTTTAGCCTGAGGTAATGGCATTCCTGACCATTCTATTCTACTTTAGGTATCCTGAAGCTGTTTATGTTGTTTATACTGGGGACACTAACGTCAGCGGTCAACAGATACTAGAAGGTGCTTTCAGAAGATTTAGCATCAGATTAACTTATCCAGTGCGGTTTGTTTTCTTAAGGAAACGCTACCTTGTGGAAGATTCACTCTATCCTCACTTCACACTGCTGGGCCAAAGTCTTGGATCCATTTTTCTTGGCTGGGAAGCTCTGACCCAATGTGTTCCTGACATATACATCGATTCAATGGGATATGCTTTCACGCTTCCTCTGTTTAAGTATATAGGGGGATGTCAGGTTGGAAGCTATGTTCATTATCCCACTATCAGCACTGACATGCTCTCTGTAGTGAAGAATCAAAATGTTGGATTTAATAATGCAGCCTTCATTACCAACAGTCCATTCCTCAGCAAAGCAAAGCTCATCTACTACCATTTATTTGCCTTCATTTATGGACTTGTTGGCTCTTGCTGTGACATAGTCATGGTCAATTCTTCTTGGACACTAAACCATATTCTGTCACTGTGGAAGGCTGGGAATTGCACTAACATTGTTTATCCACCTTGTGATGTGCAGACATTTCTGGACATTCCCTTACATGAGAAAAAGATGACCCCAGGACATTTACTGGTTTCTGTTGGCCAATTTAGACCGGAAAAGAATCATCCTTTGCAGATCAGAGCCTTTGCTAAACTGCTGGATAAGAAGGTGACTAAGTCATCTCCTCTTAAACTTGTCATCATTGGAGGTTGCCGGAACAAAGAAGATGAACTTAGGGTAAACCAGCTGAGAAAGCTGGCTGAAGATTTAGGGGTTCACAAAGACGTGGAATTTAAAATAAATATTCCATTTGATGAATTAAAGAATTACTTGTCTAAGGCAACAATTGGCCTACATACCATGTGGAATGAGCATTTTGGGATTGGTGAGTTTAGCTTTTAAATAACTTCTTTGATGCCACAAGATGTACATTTTAGGTTCTTTTGATAAAGTAATACTCTGGAAGTCTGTATCAAGTCCTGATTCTCTTCCCTTAATCCACCAAGTATGCTTTTCTCATTTGAGACCCTGTAAGACCGTAGTTATCACAGGTAATATTTATTTACTACTTACAGTGTATAGGTCCATGTGTTGAGGTTTTTACAACTATTGTCTGATTTAATCCTCTGTAAAATCCTATTTGATAGATACTGTTGTTATTTCTGTTTTATAAATAAGGAAACTCGAGCATGGAGAGATTTTAGTAATTGCACAAGGTAAATCTTTCAGTAAGTGATGGAGCCCAGATTCTGACTCAGATACCCCTGCTCTTAGCTGCCACATTTTTTCTCCCTGTCTGGCCCATCTTTATACTGGTACAGATTCCGGGCCCTACCCTAGGAATTTGCTTAGTGACCAAATCAGAATATCTTGATGCGCCCAGATGAGTGTATTTTGGTCCAGCTGCTCAGGTGATTGTGCTGTGCATCCCTCCAGGTGGGCTTCTCACAGTAATTCTTTTGTTCCTTTATTAATTCTATATGCATTATTGGAATGGCCCTTTCTCTTTGTGCCAAATCATGTAAGTGTTCAACTTACCTCACTTTGCCCATTAGCCATTCTTTTTTTTTTTTTTAAGAGACAGAGTCTCACTTTATTGCCTTTGGTAGAGTACTGTTGAGTCACAGCTCACAGCAACCTTCAACTCCTGGGCTTAGGCGATTCTCCTGCCTCAGCCTCCCAATTAACTGGGAATACAGACATCCACCACAATACCTGGCTATTTTTTGTTGCAGTTTGGCCGGGGCCAGGTTTGAACCCACCACCCTCGATGTATGGGCCCAGCGCGCTACTCACTGAGCCACAGGCGCTGCCCCCATTAGCCGTTCTTGTTTACTCTAGCACAAATGGCTGTCTCTCTTCTGACTTCCTGTTGAGTACCTATTTCGGTATGAAATTAAATACTGTTTTGTGTCTAATTTGGGTCAGCATATTTTTCTTTTTTGAGACAGAGCCTCAAGCTGTCGCCCTGGGTAGAGTGCTGTGACATCACAGCTCACAGCACCTCCAACTCCTGGGCTCAAGCGAGTCTCCTGCCTCCACCTCCCAAGTAGTGAGACCTGGGAGAGGGTGGCACCTGTGGCTCAATGGGCGCCTGGGACCACAGGCGCCCGCCACAACGCCCAGCTATTTTTTGGTTGCAGCCATCATTGTTGTTTGGCGGGCCTGGGCTGGATCCGAACCCGCCAGCTCAGGTGTATGTGGCTGGCGCCTTAGCCACTTGAGCCACAGGCGCTGAGCCAACATATTTTTCTTAAGGGCTTACTTTGTGCCTCGTCCTGCTAGTTCCTAGGGGAAAATAAGAAAACATAGAATGAAGTTTCCTATACTAAGACTACAATCTATTTTATACTTTTTTTTTAAGGGACAGTTTCTCACTCTATCACACAGGTTGGAATACAGTGGTTTATCCTAGTTCACTATAACCTAACTCCTAGGTATAAGCAATCCTCCCACCCCAGCCTCCCAAGTAACTGAGACTACATAAGTACTGTGCATACTTCCTCACCCAGCTAATTTTTCTTTTATTAGAGATGGGGTCTCACTGTGTAACCCAGGCCGTCTTAAACTCCTGGCCTCAAGTGATCCTCCTGTCTTTGCCTCCCAAAGTACTAGGATTATAGATGTGAGCTCTCTTATACTTTTCTTCCTTTTTTTTTTTTTTTCTTTTTTTTGTAGAGACAGAGTCTCACTTGACCACCTTCACTAGAGTGCTGTGGCATCGCAGCTCACAGCAACCTCCAACTCCTGGGCTTAGGTGATTCTCTTGCCTCAGCCTCCCAGTAGCTGGGACTAACAGGCACCTGCCACAATGCCTGGCTATTTTTTTGTTGCAGTATGGCTGGGAGCAGGTTTGAACCCACCACCCTCAGTATATGGGGCCTGTGCCCTACTCATTGAGCCACAGGCGCCACCCTCTCTTATACTTTTCTGCCCCTAGTTAATGGCAGAGTGCTTGGCCCCGACACTCAGCAGGAACATATTGCTCCAATCTTCTTCATGGGGTCTGACCTCCTGTGCTTCCTGCTCATAGATACTTACTGAGCATTCACTCTATGCCAGGCACTCCAGTGAGGTGCTAGGGATGTGACAGCAACAGGAGCTGCTCTGCCTATCAGAGACTTCCCACTCTTGGTTGGCCCCAGCAGGCTACCGGTGCTGTGCTAGAAAGTATAAGTGGTTGGGTGGTCTTGTTTGTGCTAGAGTAAACAAGAATGGCTAATGGGCAAGGAGGGGTAAATCGAACACCTTGGGATTTGATACAAAGAGAAGAAGCCATTCCAATAATGCACATAGAATTAATAAAGGAACAAAAGAATTACTCTGAGAAGCCCACCTGGAGGGATGCTCACACCTGTAATCCCAGCACTCTGGGAGGCTGAGGCCAGTGGATTGCCAGAGCTCACAAGTTCAAGACCAGCCTGAGCCAGAGTGAGACCCTGTTTCTCTAAAAAATAGCCAAGTGTTATTGTGGGCCCCTATAGTCCCAGCTACTCAGGAGGCTGAGGCAAGGGAATCACCTGAGCCCAAGAGTTTAAGGTTACTGTGAGCTGTGATGCTATGGCACTCTACAAAGGGCAACAAAGTGAGACCCTGTCTCAAAAAAAAGAGCAGGTGAAATGAAGCCCTAAAGAGTCGCACCTTCTGCACATCTGTGAGGTCAGGGAGCAGTTGCCCAAGAGAGTAATGCGATACTGAAGCTGGGCCCTGAACAATAATTAGAAGTTAGGCAAGAGGGGAGAATTTTCAGCAGAGGGAACAGCACTGTGACAGGAGTAAGCACAGGCGCACACATCAGCGCTTTCAGGGGACTAAGTACAACACAGCTGGAGCCCACAGGGGAGATAGCAGAACGATGGAGAGGTAATCTAAGTGCTATTTCTGGCCGAGTGCAACTTATACCTATATTCCCAGCACTCTGGGAGGCCAAGGTGGTGGATCTCTTGAGCTCAGGGTTTGAGACCAGCCTGAACAAGAGCAAGATCCCATCTGTACTGAAAATAGAAAAAGCTAGCCAGGCATGTGGCAGGCACCTGTAGTCCCAGCTACTCAGGAGGCTAAGGCAGGAGGGTTGCTCAGGGCCGAGAGTTTATGGCTGCATTAAGCTATGATGAACCAGTGCACTCCATCCTAGGAGACTGACTTGACTCTGTCTCAAAAATTAAAAAAATAAAACCAAAAAAACTTGTTTCCTAAAGTCTACTCTGGCTGCAGTATGGGCAGTGGGTTGGTGAGGAGCAGAGAGAGCAAGACCTTGGAGATGAAAAGAGGAGTGTGGCTGCTGCAGCAACCCCAATGGGAGGTGCTGGTTGTCGGAACTTATAGGTGAACATGCTTGGGAAGGATTAAACAGGACTTGGTGGTCAGCGAGATGCTCTAAATAACAGCCCAGGGCAGGCATCCCCAAACTACAGCCTATGGGCCACATGCAGCCCCCCTGGGACAGGTGTTTTTGCCGCTGCTGCCTGTCCTGCTTAGCAGCCAACTTGTCCCGGGGCCCGCAGTCTGGCCCTCCAACGGTCTGAGGGACAGTGAACTGGCCCCCTGTTTTAAAAGTTTGAGAACCCTTGGCCCAGGGTTTTAGGGCTGGGAAACTTTGTGAATGGTTTGGCTATCCACAGAGAGGAAACACCTGAGCAGAGGCCATTGGTGAACCAGCACTGGTAGTATCTAAATTGTCTGTGGGGCCCATGAGTACGTGTGTCTGGGAGGTAGTTGTATATCGGAGTCTAATGTGAAGGAGAGGGATCTGATCTGGTAATAAAGATTGAGGCATTGTCCTTGTGCAGGTAGGTACTGAAGCCCCCATGGGTGTTGATAAGATTGTCCATGGGACACGTGCAGAGTGGGAAGAGGCTCTTCGTGTAAAATGCAGGAAACAGGAACGGTTGAGAAATGGGCAGAAGAAGAAATGCTGGGGAGGAACCAGCTATGTGCAAGCTGAGCACGCTGACTTAGAAACCAAGGAAGAACGTGCTTCAGAAAGAAGGGGAAGGGCAGAGATTCCAGTGCTTCCCAGATCGGGAAGGGCAGTCATTAGTGACCTGGGCAAGAACATGCTCAAGGCAGAAGTAGAAGCAAAAGTCAAAAGTTGAGCATTAAGAGGCAAGCAAATGGCGTTAGTGAATGCAAACCGCACTTTCAGGAAATTTCTCTGAAAAGAGGAGTGGAGGAGGGACAGTGGCTAGGAGGAGCCTGCAGCACCTGAGGACAGGCGTGTGGCACCGTAGCTACAGTGCTAATGGAAAGGGTCCAGCAGAGAGGAGGCATAAAGTTGACTAGACCGAGGTCTCTCAGAAAGAACCAGGGGTGCTGTCTGTCCTCAAGCAGATACACTGTGAGCTGCAGAGATTTTGCCACTGTCAAATAAACAGCTGGAATGATTTCTGTCCTGGTCATCTAAGATACCAGCTCTCTACCATCTTTCAGAGATTTGGGAAAGCAGTTGCTTAAATCATTCTCTGAAGGTCTTCATTTCTGCTAAGAAAGGCTGGCTAGAGAAATTTATACTCTTACTTGTATCATTTGACAGAAATTAACCACAACTTCCATTCAGTTCCGCACTTCTGTTAGACATTGCAGTGGTCTCCAGTGTGCCGGAAATCCAGGCAGGAGCATAAGCTCCACCTTAGTGTGCTGCACTAAGGTGCTTCTCGTGGTCTTTTTGTTGTTGCTGTTTCTTCTAATAATGTAATTTGAACTCTTAAAATTTTGCTTTTGGTATCTTTTTACTCCTTTTATCTTTCTAATACCTGGTAACATTCTACCATCTTGCTAATATTCTGTAATCTTTTACTTTAATTATCTGTGATGTATCCATGAGGTTTCACAGTTCACAAACTTGCCACCATGCCTTAATGTTGGCAGCGCTGTACAAACAATTCAGTAAGGTTTCATTACCTTGGTATATCAGTGTCCCACAGCTGTGTTTGTGTCAGCGCGTGGTGGTATTACCGTTCTTGAGTGTTTTTGTGTGCCCTTGCAAGAATGTGGAAGCTTCAATTAGAGCAACAAACAAACATTCATAAATTTCTTGTTAAACCTGGCAAGAGTAGAAGTGAAATCAGGGACATGTTAGTCCAAGTTTATGGGGATAATGCCATGAAGAAAACAGCAGTGTACAAATGGATTCAATGTTTTTCTGAGTGTGGTGAAAGCTTCACTGATAAAGAGAGGTGAAGGAGGGCAGTAGCAAGCAAAACTGTTGGAAACATTGCAGCAGTTTGTTGAATTGTATGTCAGAATTGTCAACAGACTGTGAGAAACCTAACCTGAGAGAATTAGGAATCTTAACTGGAAATGTTGGTATGAGAAAGATGTGGCTCTTACATCACTACAGTGCACCAGCCCACACAGCATTGTTTGTGAGGGAGTTTTTAGCCAGGAAAAACAAATACTTACATTGGAATACCCTCCCTACTCACCTGATCTGACCCCCAATGATTTTTCTTTATCCAAGGATAAAAGAAGTATTGACAGGAATCCATTCTGATGATGTTCAGGACATCAAGGGTAATATGATGACAGCTCTGATGGCCATTCCAGAAGAGGAGTCCCAGACTTGCTCTGAAGGGTGGACTAGGCACTGGCGTCAGTACATAGCTTGCCAAGGGGAGTACTTCAGGGTGACTGTAGTGATGTTCAGCACTGAGATATGGAGCACTAAGACTACATGATTGTTTTTCTTTCTCAGGAGTTGTGGAGTGTATGGCAGCTGGCACAGTCATCCTTGCACATAATTCAGGGGGCCCGAAGCTTGACATTGTTGTTCCTCATGAAGGAGAGATAACTGGATTTCTGGCTGAGAGTGAAGAAGGCTATGCTGAGACTATGGCTCGTATTCTTTCCATGTCTGCAGAAGAGAGATTCCAAATCAGAAAAAATGCTCGCGCGTCTGTAAGCAGGTTCTCTGATCAGGAGTTTGAAGTGACATTCCTGTTATCTGTGGAAAAGTTATTTAAATAATGCCATATATGTACAAATTAAAGGTATTTTATATAAAATTATTAAACCCCTTCATATGTAAATATTTTTCTAAACCCGTTCCCTGTTGTAATAAAGTCAGCCTATGCAGTATTCGTAGCAGTATGTACATAGGCAAGGTATTTATTTCACTGTAAAAAGGCAAAATCAGATTAGTATGTGGCTCTAAGCTCTAAAAAATATGAATCTGAAAGAAAAAAATTAAGTCATGAAATGTGCTATAATCCATATTTTTAAAATTTCATTTGTCAATTCACTTTTAAGAAACAGGAAAGAAATTTTTCTTTTAGGAAAAAAATAAGTGTTCTGTCAGCATCTGTTTTTGCTTAAAAAACAAAAGGGAAGAAAGAAAATGTTGATAAGAAAATGAATGACTGATAATTGGCACTTTAGAATAATTGTTCTGACATTTTTGGAACACAGAAAAATTCTGATGCGTTTAAATTCTAAACAATATTGTAGATGACCCTTTGTAATATACCTAATGATTTTCTTGAAAGAAACTTTAAATAAGCTTATTTAATCATGTTCCCAAAGCATACAGTCAAGAGACAAGACTGACTGATGTTTTCTGAGTGTATAAGCATGTGAGGGCAAAGTACTGCCAGCAGTCCTTTCAATAATTAGGAAACATTTGTGAAAATGGTTTTTGTGTAGGACTATCAGCACTTTCATGTGAATCTCTCTTTATCTCTTAGCTCCACATCTCAGAGGCTGGAAGTTACCTTCAAGTCATTCAAGAGAACATCAGATGGTTTTTCTGACATGAGCTCCATCTGCAAAATGCATTTTGAAAAGAACATTGGACAAGCAGTTAGCATTCCTGAGCCTACCCTTAGCTTCATCATGACAAATGTCTGACCTTTTGACACTAAAGCTGCTCCTTAATCTTTCTGAGGCTCAGAATCTTCATGTATAATCTGGTGATGTTAATCTATATCCTTACTACCTTCTATAGTTGTGATACTACTTTGAAAACTATAAACGTTATTTTCTATAAAAGTAACTATATATATAGGATGGACATAAAGTTTGTGTGCAATTTAAAACAGTAAATGTACATAGTTACTAGGTAATCCTATGCTTTATCAATGCATTACAACTCTGTAGATTCTTGGTTTTATTAAATTCCAGAATACTTTCTTATTTCACTAAGAAGCTTATACCACTTCCTAAGCCAGTAGTTAGGAAGTGGTATAAGTTTAATATGATTTCTATCTTGAATAACGTGAAACACTGTGTATGTTTAGACAATGACCATGAAGACCTACAGCGTTCGCATTTTCTGCATATGTAGCATTTCCTGCTAGTTCAGTGAATTGAAACCCCTCACAGTGTGATTCATCTTTGTGTGAGGGGCACAGGCAAGAGGTATGTTATTCCTTTGCAGTCTACTCTCAACCATTTATCAATATCTACTCCCAGTTATGTTGTTGGTTCATCTGCAGGCCATCTTTCTGTCATTAGATCAAAAAGGAATAAAACAGAGTCAGTCACGAGGTGTTCTGACACACTAGCATAGCTGTGTGTTCAAGATGACTCCATGTAGAAAAGAAAGACTGGTAGGAGTTAGCACGAAAGGCACCCTACCGATTCTCAGTCCGTTTCTCTCTGATTTTCAACTTCATAGACAAGAACAATTTAAATTTAAAAACTTTAGTAGACTCCTGTGTCACAATGCTGTTCGATGAAAGAATCACGATTATAACCTGGATATTCTGATTCCTTTCACAGTGCTTTTTCTCATTTTATACCTAATCTTTGGGGGAAGAGTCACACTTGCCCGCTCAGCCTCCTAAATCTATACAAAGAAAATTATGGGACCAAAGATAAAATGGACAGAGCAAAAATAGAGGATGTAGTGAAGTCAGAAAGTATTCTGGAATTTAATAAAACATTCTTTAACCTTTTTCTAAATGATTTTCAAATCACAAACATAACAGTGAAAAATATAAATGCAAATGTTCACTTTCCATGTTCCTAATATGGTATCACATGTATTTTTATTTTTTTCTGGATGACTGATAACTGTGAAAAGTGTCAAAGTATCATATCAGCTAGTGTCTACAGAACTTCTGGATGACAGTTCTACTAAGACATCACTTTTGAGTAGTCCATGCATGCTATGTTTTGAATCCACAATAATGGAAATTCACATTTCTAGGTGTGTTCTATAAATTACATGTTACATAATCTTTGTATAATAATCATTTGTATGTAAATATTTAGACCGAATAGATACAAAATCCATTTGTTTCTAAATATGATTTAAAGAAGTGATTTCTCATTATTTTAGATTCTTTTATAGTATGGTGCCTGTTATACCCTTCATGTAGTCTACCAGTTCTCCTACTAATATTCCAAAGCTCCACATGCCAAGAAATTTTTATTTTTGTTTAAAAGGAAACAATTTTGTTCTGCCTGTACAAACTAAGAATAATAAACTATCAGGTTTAATAGCCTTTTTTAAACTAAATAACTGCAGAGCTTTATATACTTTATTTTAATAATTTTACAAGGCCATCTTATAAGCTACATTATGAGAGAGGCCAGTGTGGTTATCAGTGCTTTCATAATATTTATGTTTATATAAACCTGCCCTAGACTCCAGGACTCTGATATGAGTAAATAGAAAAATGTCTAGTGAATCTATGAATGAGTACAACAGAAAAGTTACTGCTATTATATAACTACAAGTTATGTGCATTTCTAGAAGGAATTATGTCCCTGTAATTTATTCCACCTTTTCTGCTGCTTCTCTGCTAACTTTTTCCTCTTTCCCCTCCTAAATCTAAGGCTCTAAAGAAGCACCTGTTCCAGTATTCTAGCTGTACACGTGTGTACTCAGTTGGACTACAGGTAAATGTCGCAGGACACTCAGGAAGGAGAGGCTCAAGGGTTGATAAACTTACTGCTACCATTTAAGAAATAATCAGTTTGACAGCTATCATACATAGATAGACTAGCAAGAAGCTGATTTTTCTAATGAGATTTATGCTAAAAATACATGCAGTTCTGATCAATAATTTTAGTTTAACAGATGAAGCAAACCTAAAGCCAGAGCCAAGTAATGAGAGCCATGCCTGAAGGACGTGATGAGGTGATAACGTGTACAGAATGAAAATCTCACGGATATGTTTACTTACCAAAATGTATTTCCAGTTTAGAGCAAAGAATCCAAAATATTAGAATAAATAAAGCTTGGAAGCCTCTTGTCATGAGGGCAAACCAGACAACCCATAGGCTTGCATCTTTGTATCCTTAAACATTCTTTGTTTTTTGGTTTTTTGTTTTTCATCTTTAATTGATTTGGTCTTTGCGTCTTTGGAGTTTTAAGGAATCATATTTCATTTCCCCTACTTTCAAATGCAGCTCAGGCTACATGAAGTCACTAGCAATGTTACTAGTTTTTACTAATTTTACCAGGTAATGTTCTGAGAGTAAACACACATCTACACTGAGCACTAACAGAAGAGTGCCAGTCTCACAGGCTGTTTGTTACCTACTTTGAAATTAACATAATGGTGAGAGCATTTTCAATGTTCACAGCCTCAGGATGTGCATATACTGAGTATTTCCCCTGAAAGAGTAGAATGTAACTATACCAGGTCGAAAGAAGAGTTCTTCAATTAGGAGGTGAAGGCACACACACACAAAAAAACTGGACACATCCAACAGTTAGATGACTCCTGATGCTTGCATTCCACTGAATTCATTTTCCAATGAAAATTATACTAACTAAATACTAAGCAGAACCTAGAAATAATCTGACCAACCCCTCCTTATTTATCTTTGTTTTCTTGGCTTAACAATGTATCAATGTGCCATTTCAGTTTTTGATTTATTATAGAGCAGATATTTTAAATAGCAATCTGCTACTTTAAACTATAACCCCTCCTTCCTAACAGCAGACATACCCACTAATATTTGAAGAAACATCGATTAAGCAACAGGTACACATTCAACATTGGGATTATGACCAATATAAAAAAGAATTTTTTTTTTTTTTTTGAGACAGAGCCTCAAGCTGCCACCCTGGGTAGAGTGCGGTGACATCACAGCTCACAGCAACCTCCAACTCCTGGGCTCAAGCGATTCTCCTGTCTCTGCCTCCCAAGTAGCTGGGACTACAGGTGCCTGCCACAACACCCAGCTATTTTCTCGTTGCAGCCATCATTGTTTGGCAGGCCCAGGCTGGATTTGAACCAGCCAGCTCAGGTGTATGTGGCTGGCACCTTAGCCACTTGAGCCATAGGCGCCAAGTCACAAAAAATGTAAGTCTAGTTTCCACCTCCCAGAACTTACAGTCTTAACAAGAAAATATATTAGCATTTATTCAAGAAACATTTCTTTTACTAATAACTATATATAAAAGACCATCATAAGGCATAAAAACCAGGCTTGGCGCCTGTGGCTCGGTTGGCTAGGGCGCCAGCCACATACACCTAAGGTGGCAAGTTTGAATCCAGCCCAGCCCGCCAAACAACAATGACGGCTGCAGCCAAAAAATGGCCGGGCGTTGTGGCAGGTGCCAATGGTCCCAGCTACTTGGGAGGCTGAGGCAGGAGACTGGCTTGAGCCCAGGAGCTGGAGGTTGCTGTGAGCTGTGATGCCACAGCACTCTACCCAGGGGGGAATAGCTTGAGGTTCTGGCTCAAAAAAAAAAAAAAAGACATAAAAACCAAATATAGTCCATGCCTTCAGAAATTTATAACCTATACACTTGAAACTATTAGAAAATAATTCAGTAAACATAATAAAATGGTTCTTTTTAGTGCATAATTAACACAGCATGCGTTGTTTCTCACTTTGCTCAACTGGCTCACATGATTGTCATTGTCAGCTTCAAAAAAGGTATTCAATATGTGTATACCTTTAAAAATTTCAAAATCAGGTTTTAAAAATGGCAGCATCATTATTTGGAATTAATGAACCTTTGTATTAATTTTCTATTGCTGTCTTTATAAATTATCACAGACTTGAGATAAAATAACAGAAATGTATTATCTCACAATTCTGTCTGTCAGAAGTCTGAAATGGATCCTTTAGGCTAAAACAAGGTTTCAGCAGCGCTGTGTTCCTTCTGGAGGCTTTAGAAGAAGCTGTTTCTTTACCTTTCCCAGACTCTGTAAACAGCCTGCATTCCTTACTGTAGCCGCCTCCTCCAGGTTCAACAGCAGGCTCAGCACTGCCTTCTCCCTGGTTTTCTCTTGTGCCTTCCTCTTCCATTTTTAAGGACCCTCCTTAAAAACCAAGATAACCTCCTCAATGTTTTTTTTTTTTTTTTGAGATGGAGCCTCAAGCTGTCCCCCTGGGTAGAGTGCCATGGCATCATGCTCACAGCAACCTCCAACTCCTGGGCTCAAGCGAGTCTCCTGCCTCAGCCTCCCGAGTAGCTGGGACTACAGGCGCCCGCCACAACGCCTGGCCATTTTTGGGTTGCAGCCATCATTATTGTTTGGTGGGCCCAGGCTGGGGATTCGAACCCGCCACCTTAGGTGTATGTGGCTGGCGCCTTAGCCTCTTGAGCCACAGGCACCGAGCCAACCTCCTTATTTTAAAGTCAGCTAATGGCAAACAATTCTACCTGCAACCTAAATTCCCCTCTGTGGTATAACAATACGTTCACAAATTCTGGGGATTAGGATGTGACATCTTTTGGAGGTGGATATTTGAGCTGCATTATTTTGCCTACCATATATATTATCTAAAATATTTCTTAAGTTTTAAAGTAAAATTATTTCTACACTTAAAAATTAGTTCTATTGTCTAAATTAAGTGAAAAATTACCATGAAAAATCATTGGGATTATTAGAAAACCTTTACAATAAATGACTGCACTCAAGAAAATACTATAGTTATTAGAGATTATTATTTAAGAAAAACTACATAATCATACTTACATATTTTGACTGGTTGTTGCTATTCCAGTACAAATTTGGATGCTAGATGGAGTCAAAATATCCTCCAAACCTTCATTTACTTCACATTTCAGCGTGCTTACCCCCTCTCTTTCTCCTGAGTTTTCAGAGTCCCTAGAGGAACCAGAGGCCTTGTCTCATTTTTTTTCCTCTTTGGAAGTATCAAGTTTTTCTAGGGATTCTACTCATCTTCAGATTCTTCAAAATTTCTGAAATAATAAATGGTAAAACTTAACGTTGTGATATGAAAGCACTGAAGAATACATATGAAACTAGTTTCCCTTTTCACTCCCCATCCCCACTGGAACAATATAAAAGTTGCATCTCACCTAGGTAATGAATTATTTATTATATCAGTCTGGTTTTTTGAAGGATGATAAACAACCAAGATTGGGAGAATCAGTTTTCTGTTGCATTTGTGTTAAACATATTCACCAAACTTATTAATATCCATCTGCTTTTAGGTTTAAAAGGAGAGGAAGAAAAAAGAAAAACTGTTGCCACGTGTTGAACCTTTACCCTAGTCCCTGTCCTAGGTGGCTACACATACTATATTTCATCTACTATTAACAACACTTTGAGGTGGACATCATCACCATCAAATCACAGATACCAAAACTCAGGTTAAAAAAGTGTGTCCAAGTCTCACAGCTACTAGTAAGTAGAACCAGGAACTGAAACAATATTTTTAGAAGGGAAGAGGGCAGTAGGCCAAGAAAACCTCAAAGATCACTAATACATTTAAGTGGCAAATGAAGGAGACTGAGACAGAGCTGGTAAGAGCCAAGAAAGTGTGTATCATGGAAGCCAAGAGAGCAGTCAGATAAGATGAGGACTGAGAAGTGATCTGACGTGACAGTTTCCAAGGTAGTAACAGTCCATTGGTGACTATTTCAGAGGAGTGGCGTGCAACAGGAACTATGGTACGGGGGTTGAGAACGCAACCCGAGGGGAAAAAGTGATACAGGGATATTGCCCTTGGAAGGGTTGGTATTACCTACAGGACATGGGGCAATGGTTTTTTTGGCTTCATAAAATGGAAGAGATTTAGGCATATTCATATGCAGAGGGGAAGAAAGTAATAGACATTGAAAATAAAGGACATGCCATGCTCAGTGGCATACGCCTGTAGTCCCAGCTACTTGGGAGAGTGAGGCAGAATTGCTTAAGCCTGGGAGTTCAAGTCCAGTCTGGGCAACATAGCAAGACCTCATCAAAGGAAAGGAGAGGAGAGGAGGGGAGTCGGGGAAGGAAGGAGGGCAGGGGAAGGAAAGGAAAAATAAACATACAGGAGAATGGTGGAATACCTAATAGGAACAAGGTCATTGAGAAGAGACTGGGTTTCAGAGCATCTGTGGAAGAATAGACTTTCAGCTGGAAGGGAGACAGTTTTTTCTGGATGAAGGAAGATAGGGAGAGAGGAGAGGATTCATGTGAACATAGAGAAGTTATGGAGCTAGAAACTCTGGGTTCTTAAGCAAGCAAGATAAAAGACATTTCCAGAACCTAGAAATACTATAATAAACATAAGAACACAAAGAAAAAAATTAAATTATAAAGGTATCGGGATAAATTTCTGTAAAAGGAAAACAAATGACAGCAGATTTCTCTCTCACAATAATAGAGGCCAGGAAAAAAAAATTATCAACCAGAAATTGTGTGCCCAGCAAAATTACAGCTAAAGATTGAAGGCAAAATAAAAATAATTTTTAATATGCAAAGAATAAGAAAGTTTGGCACCCGCTAACCTATCATAAAGAATTTTTTTTTTCTTTTTGAGACAAGATATTGCTCTGTCTCCCTGAGTAGAGAGTACTGGGTAGAGCACAGAGGTGTCCTCATGGCTCACTGCAGCCTCAAACTTCTGGGCTCAAGAGATGCCCTGCCACAGCCTTTTCAGTAGCTGGCAGCACTAGTTTTGGTAGCCACAGTGTCTTGCTCTTGCTCATACTGGTCTCAAACTCTGGACCTCAATCATTCCTCCCACCTTAGCCTTTCTAAGTGTTGGGTTATAGGCATGAGCTACCGTGCCCAGCGCACAAAGAATTATTAAAGGATATACATTAACAAGAAGAAAAATGAAACTAGAGAGAAAGCATGGGATAGAAAACAAAATAGAAAGTTCAGAAAATGATAAACTATGTTGGCAAATTGAGCTAAGTTTGAGAATAAGTGATATCTATCATTATATAAGGGAGATATGAATTTCTGTTTAAAAATAGTAAAATTGGATTACATGATTTGATATCTAAAAGTTAAAATATTCTACATACAAAAAAATGCGAGGGAAGATGAGGATA